CTACACAAGCAACCCACTGACTTGATCGTCGGAGGAACAACTGTGAAACCAGACCCCGCCCTCTTAAGATTTGTTACTTGTGCAGGGAAGAACATCTTGCTCAAGAATCGCATATTCGAAGAGTTAGAGGACCTCCGTCAATTCAATCAACTCCTTCTATTTGACTGTGTGATTCCATACATCAACAGAAATTATAATTATCCTTTACATAATAGCGAGATGGTTAATCTTTATTGTTTTACGCTAAACAAATCTCGAATCCTATGACTAATAAACTAACGATATTATTAACAAGACACACGCACGATCTGTAGACTTTTGTTTTTGGTTCTACAGATTTCAAAGTCGTTCATCATCCTTGGTTGGTGTCTCCTCTTGGGGGTTGGCTTGGGAGTTTGAATTCGTTACCAACTATTTTGTTTCTTTATAGACTATGCTTTATTACTAATTATATACAAACCACCTAGAGATTATGATGACGTGCAGCAATAAAGTGACTCTCACGAATAGCAGTACTTGAGTATTGAAATTATGCATGCAGAAAGAGACGGAGAGAAGAAAGCTTGGACCTCTAATAGTGTTGTCCCATTTTGAGTTTTTAATGTCATGAACGTATTCCAATTTTTGGTGATTTCAATTAAATTGTTGGTTAAACTGTTTAAAATTTTGATCAAATAAAAGGTACAAGGTCCATATCTATTTCATTAATTGTGTTCTTTTTAACTCTAACGTACATTATATTCTCTTTAGTAGAAAAAGCTTCACGGAAAAGAGTTGATGTTACTATTGAGGCTTAACTCGGGTTTATTTTGCTCAGGTACGTATTACGTGCACTGTTTTATGTGAAGAAGATGATAGCTTAGAAAGGAGGACAAGTATTAGAAAAAGGTTAATTTTATATATGACATAAAGTTCCCTATTGAGACTTACTCTAGCACAATTAAGATTCCTTGCATCTATTGTCAATCTACTTGCAATTGTCTTTTGTCATATTTCCACGAAAGAATCATTGCATTAATTTGAATTTGAACTAGATGTGACACACTTCAGCGTAGATTATCACAAAGCCAATTTAATATGTAGTTTATGACCAATAGTCCTCAGTTCAAGTTTTGTCAAATAAAGAATATGTGCAGTATCTTTTGATATTTCTGTTAACTACCTAACTTTGAAGTCCTTTTAACAATAGTTTGAAGTCCACCAATATGTTGAGAATTCATGTGTTAAAATGACCAACTCTTCTTCAAAGTATTGTTGAACTGCTAACTTACCCTTAAAGTATCAATTTGCCTAGTTTGCCTTTAATCCTATGCTTGCTTGCTCAATACAGTCCTTTTGTGAAGCCACTATCAACTACTTAACGGAAATTTCAATATTTTCAAACAACCATCTGAAAAGTCTGAGATTTAAATAAACACCTTGAAATGAATTCAAAATTACTAAAGCACCTTGAAAATTTCAAAAATTATAAATAACCCAAGAAAATATGAAACTATGAAATGAATACTGAAAATTAAAAAATTTACAAGAAACACCTAAAAAATTTGAAATTACAAAAAAGCACCTTGAAATAAAAAATTTACAAACAGCCCTTTGAATATTTGTAAATTACAAATGGGCTTTGAAATTTTCCAATATTGTTAAGAAAAACCTTGAAACCTTCAGAAATTACAAAAACACACTAAAATCCAAAAATTACAAAATATTTCAAAGTATTTTTTTAAAGTTTCAAGATATTTTTGTAAAATTAGGATTTGTAAGGTCTCTGGTAGTGTTCATATTCTCGAGGGTTGTTTGTAATTTTTTGATTTTTTGATTTTTTCTATAATTTTGAGTTTTTATGGTGTTTTTTAAAATTTTATATTTTTCACTACTTGTAAATATCAAATTCTCTAGGTTTTTTCATAATTTTTGGAATAATTTTTGTAAGTATCAACCTTTAGGGTGTGATTTGTAATTTTTGAACTTTTTGAGTTGTTTGTAAATTTTAATAAAAAAACCCCTAAATATTTGATACGTCAAATCATCATCCATTAAAATTTTGATGGTGGCTTCCCAAAACGACTGCACTAGGCATCCAAACATAATATAATGAAAAAAAAGTAAATTGATACTTTAAGAAACAAGTTTGTAGTTCAACAATACGTACTTTTAAGGAGGAGTTTGTCGGTTTGTCCTTATTCATATAAAAAGTTAACTGGATGTAATAACTATGAATTCTTGGGTTAATTTAGCTTAACTTTGAATTCTTGGGTTAATTTAGCTTACAGAGATTGTTTGGGGTCCATTTAACCTTTGGCTAATTAGGTAATTGCAATGCCTGCTTAGCCCATAAATTATGGAAAATCCTACAGTGGAAGTTGGATGAAACCAAGTCAGATATATCAAAGATCTACTTCGCCCACATAAGATAGAGATCCTATAAATATTGTCCATAGTTATATTATATATGGTCCATGGTTGTCTGTTTAGACCAAAGTGGCGTCCATGATCATCTATAGAAGTGATGAATATTTGATTAGTCAATACATAGTAAAAGATCCTATATATGTTATTCCTCCATGTCCTCTATTTAGACCAAGTATGTGGCGTGGTTTGCTGTGAATGATTGCGCCATATTAAAAAATGAATGATGAGATAGTTGTGAACTCGTGTTCGGCTGTAGTCCCACATGGAAAAATAAAGAAAGAATAATGAAAAAATAAAAAGTTAAATTGATACTTAAAAGTGTTATTTGATAAAGGGTCATAAGAGAAGGATAAAATAGAAGAAGTAACTTAATTAACTCTTCACAAGGGATTAAAAATAACTTAATTCTATTTGGATTCTATAGTCAAGATGAGGGGTTATGTATTTTATGTTTGGCAAATAAAGAAGGGTTAGAAAGGTAAATTCTCTATTATTTTCTAAAATACCAACTTAACCTTGTTGATCGTGTGGATTACCATTCTAATCATATATTAGGTGGTAATCTTCATGTATCAAAGTTGTCACATGACTATCACCAAGGCCGAGGTAACCAAAGTGCTTTTTATCCTCCGTTAGATCTCAGCACGGTATCCTAGGCTCGAAACCGCCAGTTTGTGTGTAGTCTCTTCACCTCCCTCCCCCATCTCCGTTCAAGAAAAGTTTTGCTTCTCTCTTCTCGAAGCATTACGATTCTCGTCCTCCTCCTCCTCGGCAGTTTGGCCCTAATTATGTCCAAGAAGAAGACAGGTGAATTCAAGTGGTTAATCGTAGAAGGTTATCGAAGAATTACCAAAGAGTCCCTAATCGTTTCCTGATCCTATTAAATGATGCTTCCTCTGTGGTGATCCTAATCACTTAGCGAGCTCTTGTAAAATAGAGGATATTGTCTGCTTCAAGTGCAACAGTGATGCGTCATAATTATGTACCAAAATTACAAGTGCACAATTTATCAAGTTATAGTATAAAAAATATCGATCCCACGAGGAAGGTGATTTTAAGAGATTATTAGAAATGATTCTTATGTTTTGTGCATGACAATTAGGAATATAGAATAAGTGTGATTTTGTTGAGTGATTGTTATGAATATATGCAAAAGATAATAAATTGAATTTTAGAGGAGAGAAGGAAGAATTAAAGAATAAATGAAATCACAAAGCAAGAAATATGAATTAATAAAATCAAGAAATAAAACTAAAAATGAAAAGAAAATTTAAGAAAGTTAAGATGAAGGATTCAAAAGAGGTAAGAAATCTAGAATATAATCCACTAACCAATTTCAATTATAAAATATAAACTATTCTCTTTTTATCACATTTCAACTTAGATTTATTAAGCATAGATTATCAAACCATTTAAGGAAAGTGTAACCTATCAAATTATCATCTAAGTTAAAATTACTATTCATGATAAGAACAACAACATGATAATAATCCTAGAATTCATAAGCATAACCTATCAAACCATTTAAGATAAGCATAGATTATCAAATCCTTCTTCTACCGATTAGTTCTCTAGTTGATTATCCTAAACATGAACATTTTAAGTACAAGAGAATAATTCATACAATATAAAGGAAATTAGACTAGTTTCATATAATTCTAAACTTCCTACAAGAATTAAATTCACATCTTTAAGAAATAAAAACAAGAAAAAGAACTAATTACAAAAATAAAAAGAAAAGAAAAATCTAAACTATGAACAAAGAAATAAATCTAATTACAAAGAAAATAAAAATCTAAACTACAAAATAACACTACAAGAAATTACATCTTTAACGAAGGGATTTCCCTTCGTTAAAGCACTGAAAACCTTCGTTATTATATGCTAACGACGGGGAAAAATCCCTTCGTCACCCGTCATTGAAGCCCTCTTCGCTAAAGGGTCATGAAGGGATATACTACCCGTCGTTATAGAGTCTATAACGACGGAACATATTACCGTCATTAATATTTACGACGGTAATTATCACCGTCGTTACCATCAGTAACGGGGATATTTTCCCGTCGATGCCATCAGTGACGGGATATTTTCCCGTCGTTACCATTAGTTACGGGGATATTTTCCCGTCGTTACCATTAGTTACGGGGATATTTTCCCATCGTTAAAGACTAATTAATGACGGTTGTATATCGTCGTAAAAGTCATCATAATGGGTAATTAGTAACCCATCAACGACAGTGTTTTCCCTTCGTTGATGAACAAAATACGGTTTATAAAACCGTCATTGTAGACTACAAATTTCTAATATACGTTAATAATAAATTTTCCATTCATAGGCAACTATCATATTATTCTCAACCAGACACTAAGATTCACAACAAAAATATATTAAAAATACCCAATAATGAACAAGAGGGAAAATAAAAATTCCATTAATAACATAAATAAATAAAATTCCACCATCCTCAAATATTCAATACTAATAATAAGAGTTAATATTCTAATTGTTCCAAAGAAAAATCCAAAGAAAAATACATGAAACTATCTAAAACAAATTAAAATAAAAGTTTGGGGAAGACACATTCTTTCATCTCTAATCATCGTCAAAAGAAGACTCGAGCTACCCCCTCCTAATCTTGCATGGATAGCCTGAAAAATTTAAAAAAATCACATAATTAAGAAATATTAATTAAGCAAATATTATCAATTAAGCAAATAATTACCTAGTCCTGCACACGTTCTCGAGTTTGAGGAGTCAATGAAGGTGATTGCCTAAAAAAAAGTTCTTGCATAGCTTTCACTTGTGACTCCAACTCAGACATCCTTTGTTGTTGTTGCTCCTGCTCATCTAAGCGTTGTTGAAGCATCCGGTTCTTTCTCTTTTCTTCTATAACTCGTGCTTCTAGATCAGATCGACTAGGGAGCGGTCCTCTCAAATCTTTCAAAGTAGTCCCGCCACCAAATACAGTGATGTGACCATGAGATTGCTTCCCCCAGATTTTCTCAACTATCTCAATGTCAGAAAGTGAAGGGTTTGCTTGTTTGACTTGAACAATTTCATCCTATAAAAAATAAATTCATATGTTAGTACTATATAATGCATCATTATCAAACTTAAACACATATTCTACTTACATATTTATCTTGATCCCCATTTTCTAGTGTTTCATTAGCTTTCTTTCGAGTTTCATGAAACATTTTTGCCACATCAGGTGGATTTCCTGACTTGCCACCCTTATTCAAATATTAAATACAAATGAGTACAACATCAAACTAAAAAACAAAATAGTTATAAATAAATAGGAAATTAGTTTTGAATGTATACCAATTCCCACGCAATTTGTCTAAAGGATTTGCTGCCCGTGTGGTGGAGCATCTTTCTTTTGCCTCTGTTAAGTGTATTTTGTTGACTTGCTTTCTATACATCAAGATTAAAAGATAATTTTAACAATCCAGCAATATACATGGAATAAAATTAATAAAATTAGGAGATTAATACCTGGAATTTTGAAGAAAAATAATGTTCCTTAACTAGCCAATCCCAGTCATCAACACTCACTTCTGTAGGTTTATTTCTAAGTGCAACTTGCAATGAATTTTCTTTCACATATTTCCTGTGCATGTCACCACGCCACTTATTCCACAAATCGCGCAAGTGTCTCATTACTGACTCTCTCTTTTGCTTCATGTCATCAGCATCAAATTTATCCTATATCCAATTTGAATCAAAATTTAATTTATAAGAATTAAAAACCAATTGTAAAAAATTAATTTTCAATGTACCTTAATGGATGCCCACATATGATCTTTATTTTGCTGTGGTATTTTGGCCCAATTCTCAACAGCTACTGGGCAAATATTTCTATCTCGAATAATAATTCCAAGATATCGTGAAAATTCTGGTTCAATAGCTCTATTCTGATAAAAAGTAATGATTTTTTTCTCCCCATGTGACAAATTATTCAACTTTAGACACTTATTACTACCACGAGGTGGATTTTTCTTCCTTTGAGAATTATCAGCTGCATACATCATATCATATGTTAGAAACAAGATATAGTTAAAGAAATTGATAAAAATATTTCTTCTTGTAATTAATAAAGAATATACCTTCTTGTCGAGATTCATTTAGTATTGCATCATCACTTTGCACTCGATGATTATCTGATTCTGCAAAAATTGAGCAATTATTAATCCAATCATAAAAAATAAATTGAAAGATAAAAAGAAATAATAATAAATTTTAAGTCTCATCAACCTGCAGAATCATCATTCTCTTCATTGTTGGTATTTGCACTTCTCCTGCGATTTTGTGCAAAATTCTCCTCTTCAAAGTTTTCTGAATCAGGGCTAAAATTTGCATCCATATTTTGATCTTGTGTTGGATTTTGAATATTCAAGTTCATGTCATGATAAGTACGGAGTTGTTCCCTTCTTAATGAATTTTCTGCAATTGCTTGAAGTCGCTTCCTAATTAATGACCTAAGTACGGAGTTGTTCCCTTCTTAATGAATTTTCTGCAATTGCTTGAAGTCGCTTCCTAATTAATGACCTGGGTGCTAGAAATTGTGCCTTTTTGCTTTTGGAAGTGACTTCTTGAGTTTTCATTTTCCTAGTATGAAAAGGAATTTAAGTATTACACACTATGTATGAAACAAATATCAAAAGAGAAATGAATAAAAGAAGAAGATATCACGAAGGACAAGCATAACAATAAATACATAATACACTAATGTAGAAGCACTTGCTGCAATGTCAAAGCCACATCCAAAATATGAAGAAAAGAACATCATATGTCTAAAAAAGGAATAGTTATAGTGAAGATACAACTTAAATTTTATCTCAATAACACAATATCATTTGTGTTCTATTCTTTAATTAAAGCGTTCTAATTCTCTGCTTGAGTCTTTTTCCTCTTTTTTGAAGTTGAGACCGAATTTACAATAATTGGATCAATATCACTCCTTCTCAAATTGATATAATCATCTTCCAATGATGTTGATGCAATAGCCTGAGCATCAAATGATTCATCTTGCAAATAAGCTTCAACTCCATCGTCTGTTATCTCACAATCATCTGTATCTGGTGGCATATCATAGGAATCACGGGGTTGTGCTTTAAGAACTACATGCCAACCTTCATTGGCAATATCCTCAACATAAAAAACTTGTGATGCTTAGCCAGCAAGTATAAAGTGTTCATAGTGGTCATTCGTCTTTAGCAAGTGTCGGCAGTTAATACTGATAAATCCATATTTGTCTTCTTTCAAAGCGGTCCCTTTTCCTTTGCCGTGCACATCCCACCATTTACAACGAAATAGAACAACCTTTCTTCTACCAGGATACTCTAATTCAACAACTTCAACCAAAGCACCATAATAATCTATATCTCCACCATCACCAGCATCACCAACAACTGCAACCCCACTACTTTGAGTTGACAAACAATTATCTCGACTTTCTGTATGAAATCGATGTCCATTTATGACAAATCCAGTAAAACATTTAACAATCTTACTTGGACCACGAGATAGTGAAAGTAAGTCATCATCTTCTCGATAACTCTGATAAACCTAAACAAAACCAAAATATGATCAAGTCATGGAACATGTAATAAAATGAACCAATCAAGATATTTAAAAAATAAGGCAAGATATATACGTACTAGAGCTTGGAACCACTCGATAAAGTTCTTATCCCAATCTTTATCATCATAGTGATTTGTGGGTTCTCTCACGAATTCATTGTAGTCCCTACATTAAAATATCATAAATATGATTAACGTTGACTAACTATAGTAAATTTATTAGTAGAATCTTAAACTTTAGTGACTTACTCAATGTGTGGTTGCACTTCATCACAGTTCTTTAGAACATAAATATGAGCTTGCAACCACTCACGTTCATCAAGGTAGCGGGTGGTGGCAGCACCCAATGCCCGCCCACTATGTCTGAAAATAGATAGTTGTGCTTCATTACATTCTCTATTGTCATCTTCATAATTTCTTTCAAGGCGATTAAACTTTGTCTCGAAGCCTTTTAGATATCTTGAGCAAAAAGTCATGCATTCATCTGCTATATATCCTTCAGCAATTGACCCTTCTGGACGTGCCCTATTTCTGATATATGACTTATAAGTATAAAGCTGACGCTCCACTGGGTACATCCATCGAAATCGAACAGGCCCTCCAAGTATGGCTTCAGATGCTAAATGAACTACTAAATGCAGCATAACATCAAAAATTGAAGGTGGAAAAATCTTCTCAAGCTTACATAACGTAAGTGGAATCTGCTCATCAATTTGCTTAAGTTCATCCACCCTTAATGTCTTGGCACATAATATAGTGAAGAATATGGAAAGTTCAATAATTGCTTCACACACTTTTGCATGAAGAAGGCCACGAATCGATACAGGAATCAAGCGCTGCAAAAGAACGTGACAGTCATGACTCTTTAACCCCAAAATCTTACGCTCTTTAAGATTTACACATTGAGAAATATTGGATGAAAATCCATCTGGAACTTTTAACTCCTTTAGAAATCGACAAAATTTGCTTTGCTCTTCTTGGGATAAAGTATAACAAGCTGCTGGCATCACAAGTTTATCTCCTCTCTGGATTGGATGTAACTCCGGTTTTAAACTCATTGCTTGTAAATCGAGACGGGCTTTGATATTATCCTTTGTCTTTCCTTTAATGTTCATGATTGTTCCCAGCAGACTATCACAAATATTCTTCTCAATATGCATGACATCTAAATTATGTCGCAATAAGAGAGTTCTCCAATATGGCAAATCAAAAAAAATACTTTTTTTATTCCAATTATCTCCCCGTCTTTCGTGTGATATTTTAATTTTCTTCTCTGGATGATTGGTCAAGGTGATCCCTATAAGATCTTCCACCTGCTTAAGGATGTCATCTCCGGTCAGCTTCGGCGCTGCATACCCTCTCTCCCTAGTGCCATCAAATGATTTCTTATCCTTTCTCCAACTGTGATTTTCATCAAGATAGCGACGATGCCCCATATAGCTCTGCTTGCCTCCATATTTTAACCTGATAGAGTGAGTGTGCTTATTACAACAAGGACATGCTAATTTCCCCTTAGTGCTCCATCCAGATAAATTTGCATAAGCAGGAAAATCATTAATAGTCTAAATTAGTGCTGCACGTAAAATGAAATTCTGTCTCAGAGATACATCATATGTTCGAACGCCTGAGGCCCACAACTCCTTTAGTTCTTCTATCAATGGTTGTAAGTATGTGTCAATAGCATCTCCAGGACCAGTTGGACCAGGAATGAGCATAGATAAAATAAAATTAGATTGCTTCATGCACATCCATGGTGGTAAGTTATATGGTACAAGTAAAACGGGCCATATGCTATAAGAAACTTTTGAATTTGTGAAAGGCTGGAAACCATCACTTGCAAGACCGAGCCTAACATTTCGGGGCTCTTCGGCAAAGCTTTCATGTAGCTCATTAAAATTTTTCCAAGCCTTAGAGTCAGCTGGATGCCTCATCACTCCGTCCTCAACTTGTCTTTCATGGTGCCATCTCATATCAGAAGCTGTCTTCGAAGACATGTAAAGCCTTTGCAATCGTGGCTTAAGAGGAAAATATCGCAATGTCTTTTGTGGTATTTTTTTACCATTTGCCTTTCGCTTGATCTCTTTTCCATGTTTATCAAGTTTCCATCTAGAAGCACCACATCTCTGACACGTATCAAGATCTTCTTCATTTTTCCAAAACAGCATGCAAGAGAATGGACACGAATCAATTTTTTCATATGATAGGCCAAGGTCTCGGATTAATTTTTTAGCCTCGTCATACGAATTAGGCAGTGTTGATTCCCCTGGCAATAGCTCCTTATTCAAAAACTGGAGCAACATTGAGAATGATTTATTACTCCACCTATTTAGGCTCTTTATGTGAAGTAGTTTCACTAAAGCAGATAACTTTGAACATTTAGAGCCTTCATACAAAGGTTTCTCGGAGTCACCTAAAAGACTGTAGAATTGTTTTGCATGTCCATCTGGTTCCTGCTCAAGAATATCCTGACTCGACGTGGCATCAGGTGCAACAACGCCAGTTGAATTATGAAATAAATCTCCAATCATTTCTTGCATTTCATCGTCACTCTGGCTTTCTTCTATCATTTCTTCTTGTTCTTCATCAAACTCCGAAATGGACTCACCCTGTCTTTCGCCGTGATGACACCAAAATCTGTAGTTTTTAATAATTCCATGAACAATCAAGTGGGTCCTTACCGACTCACGATTACCAGACTTCACATTGCTGCATTTAATAGATGGACATCGAATTTCAAAGTCTTCATCCTTTTTATTAAAACTATCCAACAGCTTCTCATATGCATAGTCTAAAAACTGATCAACCCCTTCTTTATATTTTGGATCAAGTCTATCATTATCTACTAGGTCCATCCAATCTTTATTCGGCGCCATTTCAAGCTATGTACTAAAATTTCCTGAAAAATATTTCAACCACTTCAAAAACTAAACACAAATAAATGCTTAATTTTATGTAGAGACTCATATGTTCAGATATATGGTCATTCTAATGCAAAGAAGTTAACCTATATATGGTGTCATTCAGAAAGTATTTATTTATGTAATTATAGGGTCAATTTAAAGGCAAAAATACTACCATATAACAAATTAGTAAATAGGACAAATTAGTAAAAAAAACTCATTTTCCTTTCAAAGCACATGTGACATAGGAAATATGATTATAACTAACAAAATGACTTGTTAATGGAAAGTGGTATGTCCAAGCTTGACAAGTACGTCTGAATAGCTAAAGAAATAATCATTTGAAATTCATTTTACTTAAAGTAAATACCACACATGTATAGGGTATATAATTGCAACATGTATAGGGTATATAATTACAACATGGATATTGTACTTTAAGGCAAAGTGCAAAGTAGGGAAAACTGTAGGTAATTGAGTGCAATTAAACAAAACAAGGATATTAATTGTAAAGTAGGATATATAATTGCAACATGTATATAATTACAATATGTATATTAATTACAAAGTAGGGTATATAAATTGGTATATTAATTGGAAAGTAGGGTATATAATTGCAACATGTATAGGTAATTTATGGAAAAGTGCAAAGTAGGGAAAATATAAGTACTTGAGTGCAAATTAAACCAAACAAGAATCCCTAATATTTCTAAAAATACCCTCACAATCATATCAATAACTAGTAGGTCCTTTATGACATAAGTGTATAGGTAATTTATGGAAAAGTGCAAAGTAGGGAAAATATAGGTACTTGAGTGCAAATTAAACGAAACAAGAATCCCTAATATTTCTAAAAATACCCTCAAAATCATATCAATAACTAGTAGGTCCTTTATGACATAAGTGCAAAGTAGGGTGTGTAAATATAATTAAGGTGAAAGTATAGGTCCTTTTGTGCAATTAAACTATACATGGCTGCCATTAACGGACTACCTCAACGACGATAGGACGGGGGTGGGGGCTAGAGCGGTGATGAGGTGGTGACGCTGGGGCGGCGGGCGACGTCGGGGCGGTGACGCTGGAGCAGCGGCGGTGCTGGGATGAGCGGTGTCGTGAAGGTGATGACGAAGGGTACGGCTGGGGATCGATCGAGACGGCGCGCGACGACGAGGAGCGGCCTGATCTCGAGATGACGACGGCGGTGCTGGGATTTGCTGCAGCAACGTCGAAAGGTGGGCGGACTGGGTTAGCTGCCGACGATGGGGCGGCGGGCAACGTCGGGGAGGCGACGCTGGAGCAGCGGCGGCGCTGGGATGATCGGCGGCGTGAAGTTATTGGGCAGTGTCGACGAAGAAGATGAAGAATTTTAGAAAATATATAAAGCTAGGGTAATGTTAATGATATGGCGGCTGAGAGGATGATTAATCAGAAGTTGGGGAATTTTAGAATTCGGGTTTCGGGTTTGGGGATTTTGATTGTGGGTATTGTTAATTAATAGTAATAGGTTTAACTATCATTCCTATTATGATTAGGAGTATCATCAATGATGGTGATGGAACCCTTCGTTATTCAGGAGACCCAATAACGACGGTATTAGGATTAAATTAATGAAGGGATTAGAAAACCGTTATCCCATCTCACATCATTCTATTAATATTTGTAATCACTCGACGAAGGTTTTAAAACCCGTCGTTATTACATGCACATTAATGACGGTCAACTGGTCCCTTCACTAATTTTGGTCGTTAAATATCAGATTTCTTGTAGTGTGGGATGGCAAACCAGATGATATTGATGAGAGGGTTTGGAAGAAGATGAATCGAACGACATGTGGTGTGATTAGGTCTTGTTTGACTCAAGATTTAAAGTATGATATGATCAACGAGACTTCAGCTAAGAAGATTTGGGAGATCCTTAAGAGCAAGTATTTGACCAAGAGTGTGGAGAATCGCTTGTATTTGAAGAGGAGGTTTTATCGCTTCCAATTGAATAAAGGAACCTCCATTGGTGATCACATGAACCACCACACGAAGCTACTTGCGGATTTAGTGGATGTAGATATTATGATTGAAGATGAGGACAATGCATTGTTATTGTTGAGTTCCTTGCCTGACAAAAAATATAAGACTTTCGTCCTTACTCTTAACATGTCTTTCGTATAGTGAGGTCACCGCTGCACTGGTGAACTATCAGCTTCGAAAAAAAGATAAGGAGTCTACAAGTGACATAATAGCAGAGGTGTTGGTCATAAGAGGGAAGAATCCAAACCGAAAGAATTAAAAGTCATAGTCTAGAGTAGGACATCCTACAGTTGGAAAAGATCAGTGTGCTTAGTGCAAGGAGACTGGTCATTGGAAGAAAGATTGTCCAAAGATCGACGAATGGATGAAGAATAAGCAAAAGAGAAAAGTGAAGCAACCATCATCAGAAGCAAACATCGTTATATCGGATGATAATATTTCTGATACTTCTATTTATTCGCTTTATATTAGTCCTACAGGTAGCTATTCGGAGGAATCCGAGTGGATGTTGGATAGTAGTGCGACCTATCATGTGTGACTTAGAAAGGAATGATCCTCTAGTTTTGAGAAGATGGATAGTGGTGTGGTGTACATGGGTGATAACTGTACATGTCAGATCCTTGGGATAGGAAGAATTCACATCAAGATGTTTGACGAGACAGTTAGGGAGTTATATGGTGTGAGATATATTTCTTCCTTGAGGAAGAACTTGATCTCAATTGGAGCTTTGGTTGGAGAGGGTCTGAAGGTTCGTGTTGAGGACATAGTTTTCGAGATCGTGGAAGACTCTTTGATTGTGATGAAGGGCGCCAGGAGGAATAACATGTACTATTTGATTGGAAGTTCGGTGACAGGTATAGAGCTGGCGACTTCTATTGATTCGACTAGACTGCGGTATTCAAAACAACAATATATATAAAAACAATGGTTAGTGTTATATATATGTATATATTTTTTTTTTCACTCTCTAATTCTTGGTGATTGTTTTCTATTTTAACGGGCTTTCTAAGTGACCATTTAACGAGTTTTGGGCCAATGAATCCCAACCCAATTGGGCTTAGGTCATTAAGTATAGAGATACTCCTTGGGCTTAATTGCTCAGTCAACTTAGGCTTTATAAGATAGAATCACCTTGAATTTAAGAGTTTTTTTTTTTTGGTGCCCATTTTTCGTACTCTTCTTTTATAAGGTTAGTTTTTTTTAATATATGTATGTGTAAGTATATATAGTCTTTTAAAAAAATTGTGTAAATCAAGATAACTTGAAAAAATATTTTCAACTCTAAGTTAAGCATGCAAAAATTTCATTATTTTTAATTAAAAATCTAAGGTAAGACTTAAGTAAAGTATACTAGTTGAAAAATCATTTCTTAAGAATTTTATTTGGAGTTATCATAAAAGGTGAACTTGAATATGTCACTAACTAAGAATTAGAAAATTTAAAATCTATCAATTTGATCAATTATTACTTAACTCTATTAATTTGGCAAGTGAATCTTTTTTTTTTTTTTTTTACTAACAAAAGATAAATGCTGAGAGAGAGAGAGAGAGAAAAAAAAATACTAAAACAAAATACTAACTAGCAAAACAAAAGCTTAACTAGCTTACACCCCCATACCCAGACTTTGCAATGTCCTCAATGCACATAATATCCAAAATATCACAGTTTAATAAGTACATGCCGAAAAAAATCAAAGACTGGGTAAAGTAGAAATAACATCCCTCACTGCTCATCTCCTGATATATCGTCATCCACATCATCAGCGGCAGCTGCTGAACTCGGTCCCGCCTCATCCTCTCCTGGGAAATCATCTGGCTGAAATGGTGTGATATAACTATGAAGCTCAGGTGGAGGTCCATCTGTATCTCCATGTTCTCTCTGCCATCCTCTCGCCAAATATGCCAGGGTATCGGTAGAGTAGCTGATCTGACCATGCATCTCGTGTATATGCCGCTGCATCCTGTGTATCTGTATCTGCATTCTGTCCATGCGACTCCGCATCGTATCCATCTCCTCTCGAGTGGGGTCATGTGTAGCTGGCTGGTGCTGAGGAGGCTCTCTACCTGAAGGACCGGACTGATCTCGCCCTGAAATGCTCCTCCTCACAGTCTGATCATTTAGTAACCCCTTCCCTGCTTCTAACCTATCCTCTGCGAATACTGGAACATGAAATCTATGGCAGAGTCTAGTGATGAAATAGGGGTAAATGAGCTGAGTACGTGATGCAGACTGTGTCCTGACCCAATCTAACACATTCTCCACTGATGAGCGCATCCATAT